ATGTACTATTAGAATTTGCCAAAATTATATATTGTAGATATCAAAATAGTTATTTTTAAGTAAGATTTTTCAGTAAGTGAAAGTATTCTGAAATATATTTCTCAGAGTTTTATGACATTTTCATCACGATATATGTTTTGCTTTGTTTTTTTCACAATACATGTTTTTACAAATATTGAAATTGGAAAAATCGCAGTGCTCCCACTGGGCCACAATGCAGGTGTCCTTGGGGTCCGCCGGCCTAGACAGGCCCCAGATGTGATCTTTTGGGAGCTGAACAGGCAGAGGCGGCCTCATAGCAAATACTGGGCCAACACGGCCCCAGGGTCTCACTGGACTCAAAACCAGAGCCCCTCTGTCAGAAGTGCCCCTGAGTCTGGACATGTCCTGGACATCAGGGCATCACTGGTCTCTTATCTACTCATCCGGCTGTCAGCTTCCCCTCTGGCCCTGGCCCCTTGGCAGGGCTGGGGTATATGTGTCTCTTTTCCTATAAGAGCTACTACTGCAGGACCCTGCCCAGAGAGGGGACACACTGGCACATGGGCTCCTGCCTAAGGACTCCCATTTCATCCCTAATTGTGGGCAGATCCCAGGGAGCAGCTGTGTGGCCAAGACCAGCATGGCTGTGGGCAGATCCCAGCCAGGGCTCCACTCCAGCCCCAGAGGCTCAGGTACACCCTCCCAAGCCAAAGGCCCACCAAGAAAGGGGCTACACAGGCACACAGCCTTGAGACAGAGGTTCACCATACCATAAGCCACAGCCAGGGACTCGCCAGGAGAAGAGCTGTACGGGCATAAAAGCAATACCCAGAGGCTCACCCCAATATCAATGGTAAGTATGAGGAGACCCTAGCCAAAGCCTGTGCAGACAACAGAAACTGGGGTGCACAGATCCCAACAAAAGGCCCTTCCAGGAAATAGCTACATAGGTGCCCCAAAGAGAGGCATGCCTAGATACCATCCCAAGTGTGCTCAGGCCCCAGCCAGAAGCCAGCCCAGACAAGTCAGCTCAGGGATCCAGAAGGCCACCACTCTGAACCCACGAATTGGTGTACTGGTGAGCAGCAAAGTAAAGGCTGCTCTGTGTCTTGCTGAGCATTCAAGACCACTGGGTGAGCAAAAAGTCACCTCAACAAAGACACAGCAGGCTACATCTGTTGAAATGAGAAGACACGTAAATAAATCCCAAAACCAGAGTTCCAAATCACTGAAGGGAAACCCAAAGGGAAACAAGATGGAACAATCTGACACTCAACCACCTGGACTCCCTGAAATGACTACAAAAGGAGGGGACCTGGAAAAATGAAATCAGAAATAATTTCTCAGATAACAGCAGAGATTGTGCCCATAGTACAAGAAATGATTAATAAATCTAGAGTGGACACATAAAAAAAAAATAGAGGAGCTGAGGCACATGATGGAATACCAACATAGGAAACAAATGGAATCCATAAAACAGATGCAAGCAGATTCTAGGAGATTAAAAACTCCATTGAAAGTGTACACAGCAGAATGAGCTCATACAAGGATAGAATTTCAGATATAGAAAATAGGATTGCAGTTAGTGACCAGGAAAAGAAAAATTTCTCTAAAATATTAAGGGACCACAAGAAATCAATCCAGCAGCTTCTAGATGGTGCAAAGAATAACATCAGAGTAATTGGAGTCAAGGAAGAAACAGGAGGGAATGCAGATGACACAAAAAAAACTGTTCAAAGAAGTAATGGCAGAAAGCTTCACAAATAGAGGTAAAGAACTTGACAAAGACATAAGAGAGGAATATAGGACTCCAACTAGTCTTGATCAAAAAAATCTACACTTAGGTATATAATAGTTAAGATTCCACAAACCCAACAGAAGAACAAAGTTCGACAAGCAGTTAGAGAAACAAAACAAATCACATACAGTGGAAAGCCCATCACAATCACAACAGACTTCTCAATGAAAACCCTCAAAAAGAAGAGCTTGGAGCGACATATTTCAAGCCCTAAAGGAAAACAGCTTCCAACCCAGATTGATGTACCCTGTAAAACTATCTTTCAAAAGTGATGGAGAAATAAGATACTATCATGTCAAAGAGCACCTTAGGAACTTCACGAATACGAAACCAGCACTCCAAACAATTTTAAACAATATCCAAGAAAAGACAACGATGAGGATCACAACCCCAAGAAGCCCTGCAGAATGAATCCATCAGGCATGACAAGAAACTAAGCACAAAGGGAGAGAATCCAACAAAAAGAAAAAGTCATGAAAAGGATAAGTCAATAAATATCAATTATAACCATCAATGTTAATGGTCTAAATTCAGCAATTAAAAGAAATAGATTGGCACAATGGGTCAAGAAGGAAGATCCAACAATATGCTGCATATAAGCAGCATACTTAATTCAAAAAGAAACTCATAGACTGAAAGTTAAGGGTGGAAAACAATTCTCCATGCCACAGGAAAGTGAAAAAAAGCAGGAATAGCTATCCTCTTTGCATATCAAGTGGATTTCAAACCAACATTGATTAAGAGAGACAAAGAAGGACACTACATCCTTGTAAAGGGAACAATCCAAGAAGAAGAGATGACAATCATCAATATATATGCAACAACATTAGCGCACACAACTATATAAAGCAAATACTAATGGACATGAAAAATCATAAAAGCACTAATATAATAGTAGTGGAGGACCTTAATATCCCACAGTCACAAATAAATAGATCAACTAGAAAAAAAAATGAAATACTAGAACTCAATCAAACTCCAGAGGAAATGATCTTAACAGATGTTTACAGAGTGTTCCACTGCACAAAATCTGAATACACATTCTTTTCAGCTGCACATGGGTGGTTCTCTAAAATAGACCACATACTCACTCATAGAACAAGTTTAAGTGAAAAGGAACGGAAGTTATCCCCTGTGTATTGTCAGACCATAGTGTGAACAAATTGGAGATCGATAACAAAAAAAACCACAAGAATTTCATAAACACATGGAAATTGCACCACACAATTCTGAAGAAGCAATGGGTCACAGAAGAAATTAAAGAAGAAATCATACAGGTCCTAAAACTAAATGACAATCCCAATACAGTATATCAGAATCTAAGGGACACAGTGAAAGCAATCTTACAGAGGGAAATTCATAGCAGTGAATACTCACATTAGGAAAACAGAGCGAGCTCAATTAAACAACCTGATGCTGAACATAAAGCTTCTAGAAAAAGAAGAGCAGGATAAACCCAAAGCCCATAGAAGGGAGAAAACTATAAAGATCAGGGCAAAAAATCAATGCAATGAACACTAAGAGAACAATACAAAAAAATCAATGAAGCCAAGAGTTAATTCTTGGAAAGAATAAACAAAATTGACAAACTTTAGCTAACCTTATCAAAAAAGAGGAAAGAAAAGGCCTGAATCCATGCAATTAGGAATGAAAAGGGTGAAATTACACTGGGCCCAGCAGAAATCCAGAGGCTCTTCAATACCTAGTTTGAGAACCTATACACCAATAAGGTGGAAAACACAGAAAAAATAGACAGATTCCTAGATACATGTGAATTACCAAAGTTGAACGAAGAAGACCT